GTTGGAATGAGTGGAAACTATATTAGAAAGTTAGGGTTACTTTTATATTTATATATATGTATCAAACATATATTGTCTCACTTGAATATAACTTAACAAATAAAGTCTATATTCTCAACAAAAAAGTCAGGTTTTATGATTCCATTTAATAAAAGAGAGTTCTCATCCTATTTATTTTTCTCACGTCCTTAATTAATTTTTGGCAAAATATATTTTTGGTCTATGAGGTTTGAGGTAGGTGTCTATTTGGTCTCTAAAGTTTCAAAATGAACACTTTTTAGTCCTTGAGGGGTGTCAACTTAGTTCCTGAAGTTTTAAAATAAATACTTTTGGTTCCTGAAGTTTGAGAAATAGTTCTAAATGGTCCCTGATTTTTTTTTACTGTTAATTATCTAATATTATAACGACGTGACAAATTGCAATGAAATTATTTATTGTAGTTGCTAATGTGCAAATTATATTAATTAAATGGTATATGTCCGCTATGAATGGCGGACGATGGCGGCAAATACGTGGTAGTCGCCAGAAAAGGGTAAGAGAAAGAGAGAGGAAAAGATGAGGAGAGGAGGGAGAAACCATCACCTACACATATATTATTTAATTAATATAATTTTTCACATCAGCAACTACAATAAACAATTTAATTGCAATTTGTCACGTGATTTTAATATTAGTTAATTAACAGTAAAAAAAGGACCATTTAGAATTATTTCTCAAACTTCAGGGATCAAAAGTATTCATTTTAAAATTTTAGGGACCAAGTTGACACCTACTTTAAACCTCAGGGACCAAAAGTGTTCATTTTGATACTTTATGGACCGAATGGATACCTACCTCAAATCTCAAGGACCAAAAATGTATTTTGCGCATTAATTTTTTATTTATTTTAGTACAATAAATGTGAGATGATAGATTGAACCTGACCTACAAATAAAGAGCAAGATGTGTTAAATGATGAATTATATATGCTTAACTTGATGTATTTAGTTGAGGAATACAAAAGCCTAAGCTCTATTAATTATTGTCATAAATGTTGTACATTAAGGTAATAAAGATTGCACATATCCATGCCAAATTTCTTTTAACCTCAATGTGAACTTGGTGTTGACAAAGTAATCCCACGTGATAAACATTTTAAATCTAACCATAATTTCAATTTCATTGAATATATAATTCGTCCAAGGAAGAAAAAAGGGCATAGTGGGCGATCTCCACATCCATCGTTATTCTCTATTACAAAGTATTGAAAGTGAAAGTGGGAATTGAAATCGACAATGAAATACAACCATTTTAGGAGCATAACATACAATACACACAATACCCAATTACATATAATAATATTGGGAGCTGTTGAAGAAAGTGAATTAAGATGGGCAATCTCTTCTCTTGTTTATGTGTTATGTGATGAATTGGAATAAAGAAAAAAAAAAAAAAGTGGTGGGGGTCTCTGCAAAATGCACATGGAAATGCAACATCCCATGTGTTGGAAATAAGAGGGTCCATTTTTGTGGCTTACTCCCCTCCCCTTATAGTGACCATCTTCATCATCATGCCATGCCATCTCTGCAAAATTCCCTATTTCTCCAGCTAAACACTACTTTTTTTTACTTGTTTTTCCATGCCTTTCCCCTTCCTCAAAACAAAGGGTAAATAAACCCATTCTATATTACAATTCTGTCTGTTTCCAATTCACTTATTGTAATATGTGGTGTGTTAAAGATTCATGGATCCGGTTCTATTTCAAAACCAATGGGTGGTGAGAGTGTTAAAGACAATGGTTTTTTTATTGTATTTCAATTATCTATTTTTGATATCTTGTATTTTGTACCTAGTTTAGATATGATAAAATTTTAGCTAATGTAAGACTCTTTTATACTGTCTTATTTTCGGGATTGGATATTTCAATAAAAGAGAATTTGAATTTCTCTCGTGTATTATATGTGTTTGTTAGATTTCTTAATCTTTTCTACTTATGATCCATATCAATGGTGATTTGAGCTTGAGATTCAAAATTATTATTTTTTATAATTAACATTTTCTATTGTTGAGTATTAATTTTAGTCTATTTGATTCAGAAACCCAATTGTCCCACTCAATTTTAAACATTCAACCCGGCACAATTTGCATAATTTTAATCAAACATGATAAAATGAACTTTAAAGTTTATAGTACTTTTTTTTCTTTTGAAACTAAAGTTTATAGTACTTCATATCATAGAAAATAATATTTTAAATGTGACATCATTATTACTTTACTAATTTCTATAAAATTAGTACTTCCAATTTTAAATATTAAAAACAAAATATAAAACCCTGTTCATTATGTATTGAATAATAAAATTTAGTTTAATGTTCCTTAAAAAAAAAACTTTTAAGGTTAAAAATATCACCAAATCTTTTTTTTTTTTTTTGGTATTTTTTAAAAAATTATTTATGCGATAGTTTATTGTCTTGTCTTGTCCTAAAGTCCATTTGACATAGTAACCCTAAAGCACCCTTTTATTCTTTTACTGTATCCAAACCTCACCTTTTCAGCGTCTCCAAAATGAAACAAAGGAGAAATTTAGTTTTTACTTTTTACTAGCTCTTTTTCAGAATGGCAAAAAAAATAGATTTTCATTAAAGTTTTCTTATAAAGCAATATTTTTAAATATATAAGTTGGAATCTCAGAGAATAAGATGCTTAAAGATTTAGATCTTCCGACAAAACAAATTTAAAGGTAGCAAAGCAATTAAATAATGAGGAGGATTGTTCAAAAAGAAAAGAAAAAATGAGGAGGATTATACAGGTTGTACAAAAAGAATATATATATTTGAAAGGTATCAAAGTACAATTATATTGCCATTGTAATTATTTTCCTTAAAAAGGAAGAGTTTTAAAATCAGAACTAAAACAGTTGTAATTTTATTTTAAGCATATGACATAGAAATATAATTAAGATTCACAAGGTGCAAAGAAGACCCGAACAAAAACAGAAAAAAACTTGATGTTTAAGTAAGTGAAATCTAAAATAAGTTCTTAAAACGAGCAATCAAATTTGTATACCTGTGTACGAAGTTTGTTCGTGTATTTATAGGCATTGAAGTGTGGAATCCAATAAGCACGATCGCGAGAATGTAGGCACGAGTTGTGCGATAGTGAGCAAGCGATGGAGAGCGATTTACTCGTTAATTCCTTAGTTCGGTCGTGGTTGAGGTTTAAGCCCAAGTGAAGTTTGAAGCATTATTCCTCATATTAATAAATCGAAAGTGGCTTCCACAGATCAATAACAAGCTTGGTCGTTTTACGCCGCCTCAGATTAATAATTTTTTTTATTGAAAATAAAATGTGAGAAAAGTGGAAATAGAAAGTGATCCACTATTCTTTGGGCCCTAAAATTGGTGGCGTGTCATAAGTTGTGAATCCGAGGTTCAAAATGGGCCGACTGATGAGTGACGCCAGAGGATGTTTTAGCCTTCACCCTCAGGGCATTGTCGGACACTTCCTTTACTATGTCATTTTCTTGGTCGTTGGATGTCCCAAAATCGCATTGTTCCTCCAAATAAATATAATAAATAAATATTCGTAATTACTAGTTCTTTCTCTTTTTTTACACTTCCAAAATATGATATTTTTACCCTGATTTGATTTATTATTATATCCAATTTTCAGTTATTTTTATAACTCTATCCAATTCATTTACATAAAGTTGTTTTCTCTTTTATGAAAACCACTCAAGCAAATACTAATGATCAAAGCAAACTTTTATTCTTTTTCTCATTCAACTTATTTATAGTGATTTTTTCACATCATATTTAGTAAATTTCGAGATATAAATAAGGAAATTTAAAAAGTTAGGGGGAAAAATCCTATTTACGTGTTTGGTTTTTTCTTCTTTCATTAGGTCAAAATTAAAATTATATAATTTAAATTCTCAACTATTACGGTTTAGGTAATGTATGGAAATATGAGAAATTTTTCATTAGAGGACAATTTAGATAATAAAAAAGCACGAAGGGGCATTTGTGGAAATATCAGATTTCCCAAACTAGTAAATGCTGGGCCGATTCTGGGCCATCAGGAGAACGCAAAGCCCTTTAAATGGTCCCGGTCGTGGGCCACATTATTTTGAGCCCATTAGGGCCCATTAGAAGATGTTACTGTTCCAAATTAGCTGCAGACAGAAAGTAAAAAATCATATAAACTAGCAATGTGAAAGGGATACCAAGAATTTGTCTCGAAAAACCGAACCCATTTGAATATGGGTCTCATTGATAATCACTCCATAATTACGTAATAATGCAATACAAATCGTATGAGTTACTGCTTATTTAAAAGATTCTTGGTCCTTTTTCTAAATATGAACTTGTTAATGTGAACTCAACCAAATGGGTGGAATTAACAAAAATAGTGCGTAAAGAGGGAAGCCAAAAACAGAACAGAGGTGTTTCTTTTATTGCAAGGAGATCACGTGACTGTCACTTTCCAAAGTGATTTTAGGAAAAACAATATTATATATAGAAAATAGAAAATAAAGCTTGTATATGAGGCTTTAGGCATGCAGTTGCAGGCTACTGTGTGGGAAAGAAAAAAATATCTCAAAAAATCTGAAAAAGAGACATTTATGGCCTATGGGATGATAAAATCTCCCACAAAGCTTATCAAATTTGAGCGGGAAATGTCCATTACTTTTCTTTAATTTACAAATTAGCTTATTTCGTCATTAAAAAAAATTAAATATCTGTTCAATGCAGGGACCTTGTTCTTCTACCTAGACTCCAGAGGAACTGAGATAAGAATAATACGATGGGTTGTACTGTACATCATATAATCACATTACGACAGTAACAGAGCCTAAAAAACAAAGCCCATTGTGCAAAATGAGAAACAAATCTGCAGATGATATGAAGATGAAGAGAAAACAAAGGTTAAAAACATTGAGGGCAATTAGCAATCAATGTTGATTTCATCATCACCAATTAATGAATATTTCCAGAAATGAGAATGCAAAACAGCAGGTGAAGGTGAAGGGGCAGTTTCTTTCTAGTAATAACAACGACAATAATAATACGGAATTGATATTCTGTGAAAATAGTTAGCTCTGAGAAAGGCAACAAAATTACACAGAGCTAATTAAAACATTTGAATTTCCCACTGGAACACCAAATTTAAAACCATATCCCTCCCTTATTATTCCATGGCTGTACAGAAAAAGTGAAGTGGTGATCAGCGATATTCATGGCCGAGGCGAAGCTCCAAATCGAGTTCTTCGTTTTTCCAGACGCCCCTGGTTTGATCAATTTGCAGGGTGAGATTGGCCCCGAGAAGATCTTCATTGGCGCCCTGCGATCTGTGGCGGTGGATTGGGTAATTGGCCGCCGCCGTGGTGTCGAAATACATGCGGTAGTTATAGTTATTGTGGTAATTGGGCGGCGGAGGGTAATAGGAGGCGGCGGGGTGGGGCGAAATGGGTGGGAAAATTTGGTCGTGCGAGTGGGAAGAGGAGGAAGGAATTAAATTACGTTGCTTGGCTTTGGCGCGGTCCTTGCGGTGGATGTTCATGTGGCCGCCCAGGGCCTGGGCGTTGGTGAACCCGCGCTTGCAAAACGTGCACTCGTAGGGACGTTTTGTGGGGTCATCAGTTTCGTCTTTGGGGACTTGATCCTGTGGCWCATATTCGTCGCTCGAACTGTCCCAACTCCCCTGTTTTCCAAAATCCATGCGCTACCCAAAGACAAAGACAGAGACAAAATTTTGGGTTTTTGTTTGGGGCTAGAGAAGGAGGGCGCTGGAAAGTGGAGTTCTTATACAGAGACCAAAAAGTAGGAGCCCGGACAGAGACAAACACAAAACATCTGCCTTTTCCATTGTGGCATTTATGGATGTTTGTGAGTGAGACTTACATGGGATTGAGAGAAAATAAAAAGACGAATTTGGTCAGCCGGCTGAGAGGGAGAAGGAGGGGGGGAGAGGGGTAAAAAGTGGAGACATTATTAAACATTGAAGTCTTGAAGAAGAACATATGATATAGCGAAGGGAAGAATAAATGAGGGATTGGAAAAAATGTGAAGGGGAACGTGGGCCTATGGGTGATGCTATTTTGGGGCGGAGAGGTGGGGATGGCGCAGTGAGGGTCACGAGAGATGCCCCTTCTAAGCACCCAATCGTCTCTCCAGTCCTTCATCTTTTACATGTGATTATAATACTCGCAATTAAGGCCATACCACTTCCCTCCACCCCCGTCCACATCTCTCTTCCCATTTTTCTCTCTTGGAGTTCATTTAATTGGATTGGGGTTGCTGCATTTATGTGTAATGGGTGTTATTGGTTGGACTTTGGACGACTCATCTCATTCTTCAAAGGAAATCATACGACCAAAAAAAAATTAAAAATAATTCTTTATACTCACTACATATTCTATGCTACACTTGCATGCCAAATGCCCCCTATACATCTATATAAGTCATAAACTCTTCAACGTCTAATTAATAATAGTTAATACTACTTTTAAATCGAATGGTTAGATAAGTTGCATGCCAATTTGAAAAACTTTGTACAACATAGTACTAGTTACCTTAGTCCGTTGTGAAATGTCAGGTATTTTATTTAATTTTGACCATTTAAATTAGTTGATGGTAGACATAGGAAATTAGAAGGGAGAATTTAATGTTACAAAGGGGAGCTAGGTAGGTTCCATCAATGTCTTAGATGAAGGGTGGGGCCCACCGTGGGGGAGCAGTTTAAAAGAGAATAAGATGATTGTAACTTACCTATTATTTAATTATGGAAAATCTCCACCTTACCATATGTCTTCTTGCGTGGCAGTTTATGTTTTATGTTTTATTTTATTTTTATCCGGATCCTACTTTTCCATTATATTTTTATATATTTTCTTCCCATTTTAGACGGCTAAGACGCGTCTGGACTGCAACTTTAATGGACTTAAAATGGATAAATCTGACTTCCTGCTCCCACATTTTCATACTACAATACAAACTCCCTCCTCCGTATTTGGAAACCACCTTTAACACATACCCTATTTTTGTACAAATTTGTATTCTTTTTTTTTTCTTTTTATTTTGGCTACTCGTATAAATGTTTTTAAATTTAAAATCATCACTAGAGTTGTTAATTGTTATCGAATTATCCAATTTCTTATCGCAACTGTCTTGGGCTTGTTTGAAACAAAAGATATGGACCCATGGCCCAAAACTATTCCGATCCATTGGGCTTTCAAATGGGTTCTATTGCCTGACCGGTTAAACCGGTGAGCACTTCAGAGTGGGGTAGTACCGGAAATACACTACTTTTTTTCTTTTTCTTTTTAATTTTAATAGTTACACAATTATGATTTATGCGTCTAACGGAATTTCCGGTTCTAATTTGAGCAACAAGTATGAATCTACCGAGCTTTGGCCAACACATTCGTTTAATGCTATAATCTCAAAAAGGACAAAGAATATATAATTACTTTATCTTTTCCAACTACCCATACAAAAATTTAAAGCAGAGTTATTTCTAGGTTACATATTCCATTTTAACATAAACATGGTACCTTAAAACATCATTATTTTCCGTTAAAAGATTGAAGACTTTTAATTCTTATCCTCGTATTTATAATGTTATATTCTAAAAAAAAGTTGTTGATATTAGATGAGAATATTATATTTGACTCCCAAGTTCACATTTGACTTTTAAGTTTTAAGTTTATTGAACTTTTGTCCACGTTCGAATCTTTCATATATTTTTGAAGGATTTTTTTTTAATCTATGATACAAAAATGATATATGTGTGATATATTTTATATTAAATATGGCAACAATTTTGTACTCAATCATAATAAAGAGAGAATGAAAATAGGCATTTTGGGTGGTGATGTGTTTTTCCTTCATGGCATCTCTCCTCCACTAATCACTTTCACGAAAATACACATTTGGACACTCCCTCACACCTTTCCTTCCCTTTTGTCCATTCCTCCACTTGTCTCTCATCTTTTCACCCATTCTCCCATATCTACTCATTATTATTTTTCTCTTTTTAATTATATGCTTTCTTATTTTTGGCATACCCCATATATACTTAATTATCATCCTACTTTTCAACTCAAAACCATACACCAATTGTTTTTCAAACCTAGCTACCCCCTATATATCCTATGTCATTTCTTACTTGTTTTTGTGTGTTCTATTGAGTATTATGCAGATATTGATTCATTTCATTTTGGTTTCATGAGATCATGTCTATGCCTCTACTCTATGTGCTTTCTTAAGTTTAAATATAATATTTATGTTTTAGTCATTTCCCGACTTTCACGCTTCTTCTATTATTTTTTTTCAAATTTGGTTCTTATACATTGATCATATGCCTGTCCCTAATTTTATATGATGATGTACTCCTAACTATCAATTTTCTCCCACGAAAGAATTATTGAGCTTTCATTCAAACAATTTGAATTAAGTCTTAAAACAATAATTAAATTAAAATTATTGATGCAAGATTCTATCGAGCTATCGAAGGTCGACCACGTGGCAACAAGGGTGAGTTAGCGAGGTGTGAACTTGAGCAATAGAAACCTGTAAAAGGAACAAACACTCTGATGCTCAAATTAGAACGGACGAGAGCTATGGTAAGTCGTTCTCAAAACAAAATTGCGTACTTGAGTGGAGAGGTAGAGTGTCCCCTTTATAATTAGTGAACTGGAGAGGGGGACAAAGACATTGGAATGGTCCCGACTGGCGGTTATAGTTGTTGGGCCCCCAGGTGGTTGTTGGGTCTGAGGTCGGAGTCCTCGCATCGATTTGAAGAGAACTTAAATGATTCTCTGATTGAGTTCTAGTCTCTAGCTCGGTCTCCTCTATTGGCTTAGTTGAACGGATCCGACGATATCGAACTGACTTGATTGGTCCACATATCATGTTGTATTTTTCCCTCCAACATAAGTCCCCTCTCTGGCACGTTCAAGTTGCAACCTGGCGGAGAATACGAATGAAGTGAAATTCTTCATTAATCGAGTTGCAGTACATCGAGCTGAGCTACAAATTCAATCGTTTTGATCGTCCTATATATAGGATCAAAAATTCAATTGAAGTCATCCATGTATCATCTAACGAACGGCCTAGATCACATCTCAGATCGACGGTTCGCTATTCAAGTGTGCCGCCCAGTCAGGGCGAGGTTCCAACTTCTGTCATTCTTTATTAATTGGGAAGAACTCGCAAGCGTTTATGTCCCACTTATAATAATTTAAATTCTCACTCGATGGACCTTTCCCTTGAAGGAGGAGTTTTTTGAATCGTTTCTTATTAATAATAGAGCTCATTTGATGGATATATAGCCGATTATGTTACATCACTTTGACATTACATAAAATTATTTGATAAAAAGAAAAATCATAACCCTCAGTATAAAAATATAATATATGAACAGTATGTATTTTCCTAAAATAAATATAAATGTGGCTAGATTTGAATTGATGATGACGTAAATGAAGGAGAATAATTTGTGGAAGCAGTGTGGCAGAAGGTGGTTTCTATTCCCAGTTGTGGTGCATTTACTTCATTCACTTTATAAATGGGGGACGAAGATCAAACCCAATACCCAACTAAACAACTTCATTTATTGCCCTTTTGCTATTTCAACTGAATAGTTTTATTCATCATCATCCACATACTTCCAACCCTAAAACTTTCTCATTTCAAATCATTATTAGACGATGTAATAGGCGTTTACAAACCTACGCTTTTGAGAACAAGAGCTTGTTGAAAGCCCTAATGAAAACCATGAAACAAAGCTTGAAAATATCAAAGTTTAATTTGAGAGAGAGAGAGAGAGAGAGAGAGAGAGAGAGAATTAAAATTGAAAGAGGGTGGCACAGTTGGTCTGAAATAGTTTGGGCAGAGGAGAGCATTTTGATCCAAATAAGGAAACCCATCATGGCATTTGACGCCCAGACATTGTCGGGAACATGCAAAACCCTTCTCTTCTCTCTCTCAGATTTTTGGGAAAAAGCATCCGCCATGCCCAATTATCATTCCTTTTGGTAACTCTCTTCCTAACTTCACTTCCATGCAATCTCACACATCAATCAATCTCTCTTTTCTCCTCACCAAAATTTGTTTTTTTTTTTAGTGTCATTTGTTTACTACTAAACAGTCCCATAACATTGCAACAAATTAAAAGTTTAAACCTTTCACGTTATGTTTTAGGGCCTAGGTCTGTTTGGAAATGGTTTTAGAAGGATTGATTTTAGTAAAAGAAATTTAGTGATAATTCATTTTCTAGCTAGTAGTGATTTTTAGATAATTATTTCAATGTTTAGTTACACTTTTCCTAGTGCTTTTAATTCAAAAGTGATTTTGAATGATTATTATTTGAAGTTTGATAAAAGTTTTAGAGGTAAAAAAGTTAGGGATGAACAAAACTATCAGAGGGTGAAGACAAAAATTAGAAATAAACTGAGATTATAACTAAAAATTTTGAGAGAGATTACAAAAATTTTAGAGAAAAAAATTAGAGAGAATAAATAAAATTAAAGATAAAGAAGGCTAGAGAATGACAAAAATTTAAAAATAAAAAGAAAATTCTAAAATTTAGGTACAATAGAATGATAAATTTGAGAAATGGTAGTTGACTTATAAATGAATTGTGTTTGATGGAGAATCACTTAAAATGATTTTGGTTTTTCCCCAAAATCACTTGAGATTATTGCCGAGCATGTCATCAATTTTAAAATGGTAGTGGTTTTAACATCAGTAAAAGTGAGTCCAATTATGCTAAAATCACTCTCAAACATATCCTTCATCGATACTTTCAACAAAATGGATCGTGTGTGGAGTCATCATCTCCTTATAATTAGTAATTAGAATTATATTCAATTGCATTCTCATTTTCTTGGAACTAAATGAACAAAACTACAGACAAAGTTTGATAAGAAAAGATGTCAAATCCTTCAAATCAGACAGGAAAATAAAAAGATAAAATTACAAATAAAGAACATACAAATAGTGAAAGAGATACAAACAATAATGTCATTTAGGACACTACAAAAAAAATAACATACGATGGATATTCATCTTCCAATTAATCCAACACAACATAGAGCATACGAGAGAGGATTTGAAGATGAAGAACATGTTCTACAAGGCCCTAAGCTGAATACCCTAATCGAAGCTCCAAATCAATGTCCTTATTAGTACCAATTTCAATGATTTTCTCACCCTTGTTCCAACGATCTCCACAGCAATGGCCTCTCTCAAACACATTAGGTTTCGCAATCTCCGCCTTGGAAGTCTTCAAATCCGAAACTCCCCGATCCAGCGGACAACCGAACACAATGTTATCGTTGCCCCCGGCAGCCCATTTGTTAGTTTCCGAAGAAGTGGGGAGATTAGGGTTAGGGTTAGGGTTAGGGCTAGCGCTAGAGTTGTGAAGATTTAGGTTAAGATTTGTGAAGTGAGGATGATGATGAGTAGTATTAGGGGGAGGGGGAGAGTACTGCCTGAGCATGGCTCTATCTCTTCTATGAACATTCATATGGCCGCCCAAAGCTTGAGCCGATCTAAATTCCCTTTTGCAGAAGCTGCAGGTGTAACTTCTGGGAGGCCATGAAAT